ACTACTACTACTACTACTACTACTACTACTACTTCTACTACTACTACTACTACTACTACTACTACTACTACTACTACTACTACTACTACTCCCGCCAGGCTGGGCAAGGGCGCCCCCCGCATGGGCGAGGGGGAAGGCAGCGCGCGCCTTCTCGAGAGTGGTGCGGCTGCGCGGTGCGAGCGGGGTGCCCCGCGCCCCTCGTAGACTGTCAACAGTTTGCCCAACTTTGCGCCACTCTGCATTTTGCGGCTCATGATCGACTGCATCGCGTGTTAGGAAGTCCCTGCACGTTTATGCAATAAGTTTAGCAGCCTTCTACTTGTGCAGGTTTGCGTGTGACTACTCAGCGCAACCTTTCGCAGCTGGATTGGAGACTCGACAAACTCCTCGCTGAATGCTGTTAGACCTCATCGGCTTCGCTTTCGAATAACGCTTCGTCACCCGTCGCATTTACCGGCCATGCTGGCCAAGGGGGCGCGTCAGAACGCGGCCCGCCCTGCAATTGGGTGAGGAGCGTAGCGGTACAGTTAAGTTGAGCAGCTGTCGTTGTCGGCGCTGTTTGGCTGAAGTGTTTGAACTGAAGAGCTGTCGCCCTTCGCCCGCGGTTGAAAGCACCAACCGTTCCCGTGCAAATCCTCCTGCGGATTTTTCAAGAAGGACCCAGGTGAACAAGACGACGGGGAGAAAGAAGGACGAGGAGGACGAGAAGACGAGAGGGCGAGGAAGACGAGGACGAGGAGGACGAGGACGAGGAGTTTGGCAACCATCTCGGTTTTTTTGGAAGCCCTCATGGGATCCTATTGCGGTTCTCTCGGGGCCCTGTTGAGGCCCACTTGGGGTTCTTTTGGGGAGTGCTGGGGTTCTCTTGGAGCTCTTTCGGGGGATGCTGGGCTGGGGCCCTCTTGGGGCCCTCTTGGGGCTCGCTTGGGGCTGCCTTGGGAGCCCTGGAAGTCCCACTTGGGGCCATCTTGGAGGCCATTGATCACAAGGTCGGGTGGGTCCCCGATCTAAGCCCCTCTCCTGGGGCCGTCATAATCGCCTCTTGGGGCCCCATGGGGCGTTTTTGGTGGTCTTGGGGTCGTTCGGGGGCCTCTCTTGATCCATCTTGGGGCAATCTGGAGGCCTTACAGGCGCATCGCAAGCGAAAAAGCGAGAAGGCAAACACCATTGACGTTTCTCCGGTTTTTGAACGACGTTTGCCTCTCGGGGGGGCCCCAGGAGGCTCCGAAAGCAATTGGAAACGTCTTGGAGCGGTATGTGGCGCCTGTTGGAAGTCATCTTCGGTTATCTTGAGCCATCTTGGAGGCCATCCTGGAGCATCAGAGGCCCTCTTGGAGCAATCTTAGGTCCTACCGCTCGCGCCCCCCCAAAAACGTCCTAAGGGAAGGGAGGGGGAGGGCACCCCTCCCCGAAGGTGAAGGCGGGAACTTCAATAGGAAGGAACAACATCGTCAGACCAACTACGCCAAGAGGGCTGGCGGGATTGATTGGCCTTTCGATGCCCTTCTGGAGAGCGTATTGGGGGTGTTTCTGATGATCTAGAAAAACTGTTGGGACTTGTTGCTTCTCAGGGGCGCTTGGTGCCTCCTGAGGCAAGGTCGCCTTTCCGGGCCGTCCTGGAAGCCTGGACGAGGAAAGGAAAGCTCCAGGGAGGGGTCTGGCCGCCCAGGGGGCCTGGGGAAGGGAGGGCGATGCACGCAGGTGGACGTGGTGAGAAGACGGGAGTGCCCGAAGAAGACTGGCAGAACCCCACCAGACAGCACTTGGCATTCTGCCACGCCTCAACGTGCCACTGGGCACCGTGGCAGATCTTCCTATTGACTTCGGTTCTGCGTGCAACCTTGGCTATGCATTCAATCGCTTCGCTCATTCCGGCGGCCCATACTGCATCACCGCTGGCACTTGCTTGTGCGCTCGCGGGAGCTGAAAAGGAGTTGTGTGATGGTCGTTTCCCTGAGCTGTCACGTGAACCTCGCGTGGGGGAGACACAGTGGCTGGGTTGCGAGGCACTGCTCAATAAAGCACGCACCGTCCGAGGTTCTGGCAGTGCATCCCGCCGCCATGCCCAGGTCGTGGGTCAGAGGCATGTTGGATGCCTCTCGGGTTCTCTTGGGACGCCTTTCGCGGGCCTCTTGGAGGCTAGCTGGGTGCCTCCCTGGGGCTTCATGAGGCCTCTTGGGGGCCTCTGTGAGAGCCGTGTTGGGGGGCTCATGCGCCGTCCTGGTACTCCCTCGGGCCGCCTTGGGCTCTCTCGAGGGCCTCTGAGGCCGTGTTGGCACGACCTCAGGTGCCCGTTGGGCAGCCTTGGCTCGTCAGAAACCAGCAAAAACGAGAACGCCAAAGTCTTTCAAAAACCGAGCGTTTATTCAACGACGTCTGCGTCTTGGGTGTCTGGAGGCCCTCTTGGGCCGTTCTTGGGGCCCCCTGGGCCGTCGTAAGGCCAGTGTTGTCTCGAAGCGCTCTTTGGCCTCCTCGGCGCCCTTGGAGCTCCCCTGGGGCGCTCTTGGGGCTTTATTAGGGGTCCTGAAGCTCGCGCCCCGGAGTTCCGGCATCTCTGAACCGACCTTGCTGAGACCTGGGCGGAGTATTGTTCCTCTGGGGACCCCCAGGGGCCGCCCGGTGCCTGCACGAACTAGCAATCTTACAAACCCTCTGCATCACTCACCAGAGATTCTAGCACGCCGTTGACCCCTTGGGGCCAGCGAGTTCGTGAACATGACGACTCATCAGCAGGCGTTGCACTTTTGGGAGGTCTTCCATGGTTTCGCAGCATGGACGGCACTCGGGTGCCGCAAAGTATGTGCCGTGTGTTGGGGTGCAGTGCAGGGGCTGCGCGCGAACATTGCGCGATACCGAAACTGCCCTATCATGTGCAAGCATGCCGTACCTGATGATTACAAACCTGCTCTATTCCAACATGGTATGCAGGTTCCATTCCCGCTCAAGGTCTCACGGTCCAAAGCAATGTTGCAACGCTCAGCCCGTATCCAGATGCCGGCGCTTTGCGGTTCCATGCGGCGTGGGCAGTAGTCTTGTTCGCAACTATAGGCTGGGTGCGGTTTCAAGTATGCACCCGCGCTGCGAAGAAGTCAAGACGCTCCAGTCTGTCCATAGAACGTAGAGGCTTCAAGAACACACTGCGTGGTAGATGCGTCTCGCTGTGGGCTCTGTGTCGCCCTCCGCTGGTGGGCTTCATTGACAACCGTGGCACTGCATATAATTATTCACGCGGCCAGGCGCTAGGCTGTGGCCCGTTATTGCACGTGGACGCTGGAAGTCCAAGGGAAGGGTGCAGACAGGGCAGCGGACGCATTTCGAAAGGTTTCAACATGTTCCGACATGTTGGTAATGATTGATTCGTGCTCGCTTTCAGGATCCGCCAACATGTCTGCTGCTTCCGTGCTCGGAGACCCCGATCACCTTTTGCTGTTCCACGTTTGCTTGCCGACGCTGGTTGCGGCATCCTCGACCGATCTGGCGCATGCCATCGGCCGAGCTTGCCTCGGGATGATAATCAGGCTCCTCGCCTCCCCCGCAGCGGGCCCAAGATAGGGGTGGCAGCATGCGGCAAGCGTGGTCGCGTGCGTGATCGAGGGCATGGGGCGCTCCAGAAACGGCCTCGCCTTCGAGGGACCAGTGGATTGATACCCGCTTCTCCGAAACGGACGTCTCGCGAGGGCGTCCCCGCCAGCGGAGGGCCGGAGGAGGCCCGGCGGAGGGAAGAGGTCTGTCCCCTCCCCCGCCCCAGAGGCGCCAGTCTTTGGGATTCAGGGTTTCCGCAGCGGGCCGCGGAGTCACCACGTTTGGACGGAGAAGCGTGCACTCTGCCACTCGCGGCAGGTGGGCCACGCTCGGGTGGAAGGGCGTGTGTCTCCAGCCGCTGGCGGTAGATTCTGCCCCCCGCGTGCAAGCCGCAGTGCTGTCCGTGCGGCGACCCCCCGTGGACCAAAGGGGGCGCGCTTCACATCCGAGAACAAGTTCGGCCACCATCTCTGTCTCTCTGACTCTCTCTCTCGCTCTCGCTCTCTCGCTCTCGCTCACTCTCTCTCTCTCTCTTCTGTCTGTCTGTCCTCTCTCTCTCGCTCTCTCTCTCTCTCTCTCTCTATCTCTCCTCTTTGCCATTTCCGACATTTTTTGAGTACGTCTTCGTAGCCAGGGTTGGCGGGAAGGGATCGAAGTGAAGCGGAGCCCCCTAACCTGGAAGTCGGGTTCGGTTCGTGTCGCGCATGATGTGATGAGGCAAGGCGAAACTCCGCGAGGGCTAGACAGATCCCTGCCTTGTTAGGGCAGGTTGCCATCAGATTGTTCCCCCCCCGGGCCCGAGCTCCGGCGGGATTTTCATTGAGGCGAAAGCCCCGCTGTGGAAGGATGTGCCGCCCATCCTTTTAAGACGCCGAATGCAACAATATAAAGTAAGTGTTCAGCGAGGGTCCCGTTCTGGTAAAAGGGCCACCCTCTAGCATGTAGCCGCGGGGATGTGTTGACGTTATGGTCGCGACACCCTCCAGCCGGCGATCTCTTGCACATTGAAGCCGCGTCTTGGTGCTCACTTAAAGTGCTGTAGGGCCATCTTGGAGGTTTCTTGAGCTATGTTGGGGCGCTCTTGGGGGCCTCTGCGGCCATCTTGGGGCGCTCTTTGGGGTCTCGCGGGGCTTCTTAAGCGAGAGCACGAAAATCATCAGAACGCTTACAGTGAACTAGTGATTTCTGCCTCTTGAGGCCTTCCTGGAGAGCCTGGTGGATTCTTTTTAGGTTTCTGGCCGTATTCGGACCTTCTTGGCTCTCTGGACGCCATGTTGGGCAGTTTTGGGGCTACCTTGCGCTGTTTGGGGCCATTTTGGAGCCATCTTGGGCCAGGCCGTCTTGGAGCCATATTGGGGCATTTGGAGGCCATCTTGGACCCTTCGGGACGTCCTTGGAGACATTTTGGAGTCCTTCTGGGCCGCTAAGGGTCCCAACAAGTTCCTGGAACGGATCGTCTTGGGGTTGTTCAGTTTTCGTACTTGGCTTGCCCCCCTCCTCTCAAACGCGCAATTTGTTTTGGCCCGGAAGGGGGGATTACTGAGACCGCAAAGGGGTTATTGGATTATTTGTCCGTTATTCTTGCGGGTTAAAACATCACAAAAACACTTAGCCCCAGAACGCCGCATCATGTGGCAGCTCTTCGCCCACGGCTCCAGAGGGCCGCACATGTGACCGCAGGCACCTCGGGGGCGTAACACCTGAGAGCTCACTCTCCCAGCCTGGGAAGGCCGTGGCGTGTAGGGCGTCCCAGACAGGGCCTCAGCTTCGGCGCCCCTTGCCGTCGGCGGAGCCGGCGGACGGCTGGCGGAAGCCAGCGGACGTAAAGCAGCGTTGGGTCCGCCGGCGGACGGTCGGCGGAAGGCGGCGGAAACAAGCGTGAGACGTCAACATTTTTGGATCCAGGATTTTCGAATTCGGCCATGTGGCAGTTGTCTTTCCCTGAGCCCAGAAACCGTAACCTGCGGCAGCCCGCCTTTTCAGGTCTCAGCAGAGCGTCTTGGGGGTTCTGTTGGGGTAGATTCCCCGAGGCCCTTTGACGGCTTCTCGGGGACCTTCTTTGTCGGCCATGTCGGGGTTTCGCGAGGTCCGTTCGGTTGCCATGTTTGGCAGCGGAAGTCCGCCCTTACGTCCACAAGCCAGCACCACGTTCTCCCCTGCGGTGGCGAGACGTCATTTTTGGGGCGCCGTTGGCGAGAAAGAGTTCATCACGACAGTCGTTGTTCCCTTCAGGATGCGGCGCCCCGTCGCCGCCCTCCCCCCCGCCGTTGACGTGCCGTCTCGTGATGTTGCCCTACGTGGGAAGCCTGCTAGTACAGCATGCGAGCGCCAGGAAAGTGATCTGCGGGGGGGTCAACGCGACAACATTAGGTGGCATTGGTTTTCTGAGTTTCCGTGTCAGCGTCCGACATGCCATTGGCCCGCTGGGCTGGCGAAGCTGGTCTTCACGCTGAAATTTAGAGACTTCTTTGAGCGGCGAAGCTGAATGCATCGTTGCCACTTTTGATCTCCACAGCGCAGACGGCACCTATATCGAGCTTAGCCTGTCGACAGCAGTGCTCTCGGGCAGGAGGCCGCCCAGCGGGCCAAGCTGTTGGACTCGTGGCCAGTTCGTCAGACAACGAGCTTTTCAATTGTTGCTCGCCAGTGCGGGTATACACTGCGCCGGCGAGTAAGAACTCTTTCAAGTTGGCCAGCGCAGCGCGGAGGGCTGCCGTGCCGCGGTGTTTGCCTCCGTCCATCTTTCCCTGCTCATCTTCCCCCCCTGCCCCTCCTCCTCCTCCTCCTCCTCCTCCTCATCTTCCTTCTCCTCTTCTTCCTCCTCCTCCTCCTCCTCCTCTCGCTCTCGCGCTCTCTCTCTCTCTCTCTGCTTGCCTCCCACTGCTGCTCTCCGCCCAGGCGGCCTGCCCGCGGAGGTCCAGCATCGGCCGTTGAGGCCCCGCTGCTCCTGCGCCCAGGCTTTTGGCGAACGAGGTCGTCCCCCCGGGGCCTGGGGGGGGGGGAGGCGCATCGATCCCCAATCGCCCATTCATCGCCGATAGAGGCCCGAATCACTATTGGGGGGATGGGCCCAGGTCCAGGATCCCAAAACCGTGTGGTGACAGACCGTGTGGCGACCTCGGAACCTCAAGCGACCCCACCGCACGGTCCGCCACCACACGGTCTTGGGACCCTGGAGGCCCTTGTCGCCCGAGACATCCTCGGAGAGGGACTCGAGTCCCAAAATCGTGAGGTGACCCCGAATCCCCACCGACTCACCACACGGTGTGGTCACCACACCGTCTGGGGGCCTCCGACTTGGGGGGGGGCATCGATCCCCAATCGCCCATTCATCGCCGACACAGGCCCGATATCCCACCCCCGCCCAGGAAGGCGCGGATTCACAATTGGGGGCCTATCTGGGCCTATCGCCAATCTATCGGCGATGCATCGCTGATTCCAGGTCGATGTTCACGCCCCTATGCCAGTTCCCCGTTACCGTTGCCCCTCAAAAGGACGCCGGGTCTAACCATGCGAGCAGTCCAGCCGACTGGTTATGGCGTTCCTCGGGTGATTCCGAGCCCCGTAAGCGGGTTTTCGTTTGATAAGCCAGGGCTTCTTGGCGCGCCCGAGAAATGTGCAGCCGTGGGTCGAAGCATTCGCCATGCTTTGTTCGACGTCACCCCAACCTACTAATCTACTATATGCGCGTCGCCCCCCCAGGGACGATGCGCGCGCCGAGAAATCTAATGGTATAAGCCCCGTGGCGGGCGGTTTCTGGCGGCCATGCCGCTCGGGAAAGGATATGCTACAAGATGTTTGTATGGTATGTTCGGGTCGGACGCACGCCTCCAAGGAGGACGCATAGTACTACAGTATCGGAAGTATTTCTCCGAACGCCACACCGAGGCCCCAACGACACCCGAAAGACAAATGACGGCTTCTGCGCCCAGCCCCGTCCGCATCTGCGGGTGCGCGGTCCAAACGCCCCACGCATAAAATTCCAATGGCTTCCACCTGCGGGGGGGGGGGGGAAGAAGCTTGAACCCGGAAATCGCCGCCAAGCCCGAAACCAGGAGGGGTAAACCCGAAGCCCGCGGAGGGGCGAAACCCAAAAATTTGGTGGGGTTAAACCTGAAATCGCGAGAAGGGATAGACCCGAAACCGCGGGGGCGGGCGGGCGGGTGGGCGGGCGCGCGGGCGGGCGGGCGGGCAGGCGGGTTGGCGGGCGGCGGGCGCGCGCGCGCTGGTGGGCGGGCGCGCCGGCGTTCGCTCCGCAGGCGCTGCCACGTGGCGAGTACAGTAGAGTATTTGGTTCCCCCTCCGAGCGTCCTCGCGTGGCAAGGAGATTGGAGCAGTATTTGCTTCGCTCCCCTGGCGCTGTTTTCCGTGCAGCAGGCGTTGCCACGTCGCGAGGAGTGTGGAGTAGCATATATTTTGCCTCCCCAGGCGTTTGCCACGTGGCGAGTAAAGTGGAGTAGTTTCAATGCCCAACCCGCAGCTTGACCGCGTGCCGAGTAGAGGGACGA